AGATAATGAGATGCTAATTCAAAAAATACGTTTAATTACTTTTATAGTAATTCTTAAGACCTTGTTGTCTCCTAGTAAGTCAGTATAATCATACATCTCCTCTAACTAAGCTACTTGTTCTTCCGAAAATTCCACTGCGTATATTTAATAGTTGCAAAACTCAGATTTGATTTTAAATTCCTGCTTTTATTTCAAAATGAATTTCAAAATCAAGCCCAACTTGCTTTAGACTATAACACTTAATCTCTTTATGATAAAATGACATAACTAATTTCTAGAAATACCATGTATATTGGTACAGGAATCAAAGTTCCTATTTCTATTGAAATGCCGCCAGAGTCAACAAAATTATTAGAAGTTAAAGTAGCGCCCAAACAATTTCAACTACTAGTTCTTTGACTGTAAAGTTAAGGTTGTTGGTCCTCCTTTAAACTTTTAACACAATCTAGTGCAAAAATATTGAAGCCCACCAGCAGAATAATGCAAAAGGCTTAATTTGTGGTAAACGTAATCCTTTATGAACTGATGACGGAGCTGCGTAGAAAGTACAAATTCAACGAACTTGACGGATATATTTTTAGATGTAATTTGAAGAGTCGTTCATCATGTTGACTAACTTGTTTCACCGTTTGAGGGATTGAGCATTTGTGTTTGTACTGTAACAATTCAACATCCCCATTTCTACAGAAATCTTATATAGCTCATTTTTTTTGTCTTCCTTTAATGTCTCAAGACTGATCGAGGTTTCAAAATCTTTCTAAATTTTTACTTATATGATAGAACATTTAAATGTGGAAACCAATAATAATGCCACCTTCCCTGTATATCTCTTCGCCAGCGTTTCATCCAAACAAAGAGTCACGAAAAAGAACAGTGTCACCACCGCTGATTGATGAGATACATGCATATCTGATGAAGGTTTGTCAAGTGAGCATACTGAGGCAGGTTTTCCCAGACTTGAGTATAGATGGTAGATAACAATTTGTGTTTTTGCGTAGTTCAAGTGTCGTAACATTTGCTGGCCTAGTAACCTCATTATAACTGCACAAAATTTCATAACGTGATTAAATGTTCTCAAACAGACATTCCTTTTTCATACATGCTTATTCTTCTAGATTTTAAGGTTGCAATAACGCCAAATGATATTCCGGCACTCACAATTCCAAAAATTAACAACAACGTCGTCAGTTGATGGAATTTAACAATCATGGAATTTTTGAAATGAACTAATCATTAAGATTCATAATAATACGCTTCTACAAACAGTAATTGTAGTGACAGTTCATGTTGACCAAAATTAGGAACTTCCTATTTACAAAATCTTAATATTCTATTCATGTTGTTAATCGATTATAATGTGATATTTCATGGTCTCTCATTACCTAAGATTGCCAAGAGAAAAGAAATTGGCATATTTACACTTATTATGCTAATAAGCGAGGAAATTTCCGGATCGGCGATATTGTTACTCTCTCGTAAACATTTTAAAATTTTACGATACTTTCAATGAACATAGTGACAAGACTCTGCTGACCGAAAGGACAGTAAAGAAGTATTTCACATATATGTATATGTAGGTATGTGGTTTCATTTGGCTAGGCAGTCATGGAGTCCCAGCGTGAAAACCACAGGATAAGTTTCAGGCGCAACATAAACAGATATATGATTCGATACATTTGTGTGCATAACAATACTTATTTTACAAGTTTTTATCCAATTTGACCTGTTCGTTAGTAGGTGTATGTTAGTATATTCTTATGTATGTATGTTAGTATATATGGGACACATCTTGGAAATTTTGAATCAGTCAGCCTTAGTCAATTGCGCTGAAATTTCGTACACACGTTTGGTTTGCGTGATAATATAAAATGAATTAACTGAATTGAATCCAATTTGGCGGATGCTACAAAATTGCGATTCTTCATTTCCCTAGTAACTCCTTTGACATGGGTATCAAATGAAAGGGCTTGATAAGAGAAGCACAACCGGCAAAGTGACGTCATTCTAAAACCAATATGGCAGCCGCTGCAGAAGCCATTAAGATTTATATTTTTTCACAGAGATATGAGTAGCAAATAGAAGGGCTTGATGTGAGAAACTCATTAAGCAAGGTGACATCATTCTAAACTCTATATGGCGACCGCCCCGAAATGGCGTTTTTATTTGTCAAGGTCACCCATTTTATATAGGAGGTATCAAACTAAAGGGCTTTATGAGAGAAACGTAATGAGCAACGCGTCTTTCTAAATCCAATACGGGTGTCGTCGTAAAATGGCGATTTATAATTTTCATTGTTACCCCTAAGCAAAGGGTATTAAACGAGGGAACATAATAAGCAAAGTGATGGCACTCTTGTTCTGATTAGGTGACCACCGCTGAGTGGCGATAATTTCCGTTTTCGTGGTCACCCCAATGGTGATCGCCGCAAAATATCGCTATATAATTATATGATGATTATGTAAAAGCTTTATGGAATCGAATTAATAAAACATATGAAAGTTATATAGAAAGTACCAAGCTAGGTATTTGACATAATAAAAACACAAGTAAAAAATAAATAAAATAAGAAAATACATTAAAAAATCGAATGAACTAAAAATTTAAAAATATATTTTTCGGATTGGAAATACAAATACTCATTCAACCCAAATTTTTAAATAAGAGCGTGTTACGTTTTGACAGCAGAATGGAAAAAAGGGTGTAACATGTGCATTTTCGTTTAAATATTTCCAATCGGAAAAATTGGTTGGAACTTTTAATTCATTTTGTGAACCGCTGCATAAAAGCTTATTTTAAAACATATCTTTTGTTTTATTTATTTTTTGATACAGTAATATCATTATGACCTAATTCAAGATGGATAAGATAGATCATGAGAGTTATACATGTTATTTCAGTAATTTTGGTTATAGATATTTGTTCATCGAAGGAACAAGCAAGAAAAGTTTATACACATCCTCATTCCGGCGTTTGACATGAAGAAACATTTATTCAGATTTGAGGATTCGCAATCACGTTTCTCATTCTTGGGCATAGTTATGAACATTTATTTCTACACAACTTTTAGAAAATCATTATTTTTTGATAGCCGAATTCAAAGTTAATTTTTAATGTTCTTAGAATTTTGCGTGTACAAAAATTGGAAATGGATTTTCGTTAATAGTTGAAATTGGTATCGATGGCAGTCAATTATAGGACTATAATTTAAGATCTGTTTTTAGCTGGTGAGCGCACAACTGACAATTAGTTCGTTTATAATTATCTGCAGGTATTAATTATAATTTTTGCATTGAGAAACGCACGTGTGCATATGACTAATAGCGTTACCTACTTTTCCTGCAAGTATATCATACTAAAACTATGTTAAATACAATATAAGTATCGACAGCTAAATACTACACCCACTAGTACATTGTTTCCTATGGATATAGGCATGATGCTTTTTATGCGTACGATCTTGGATCCGTACAAAATTACTTCTAAAGAAAAGTTGTGAGCTGGCTGGCTAAATACAAAATGTTTCATCTCCATTATCTATTTTAGTAGAGAAGCAAGTCATCTTGCTTTAAACTTACTGGCTTAACGCAATGAAACAATTGTGTTTGATTGTTAATACTGTTTTCAATCATCATTACAATATGGTTGCGTCGACACTAATTCCACGTGAGAGTATGATTGACATCAGCTACTTTACTTGGAAGTATAATACATCACCGAGCTATTTGCTGTGGGTGCCAGTATAATAAAAAGGGCCGGAAAAGTTTAAGCAATGCCGAGTACAGAATAGTTCTATGCCCTTAAAATTGAAAAATTAAATTCGATCTTATTTTTTTGTTATCACAGAACTGATGATTATCAGTACACCAAGAATAAAATTATCACCCCTTAAACTTTATATGTATAACGTCAGTACTTATACACTATAATAGTATATGACGAATTTCACAACGGAATTACATATAGATTTGGGGGCAAATGAGAAGGCCCTTCCCCTAACCTATAGCTAAACAATGGCTTCAAGTAGATCGACTCTATACTTTCCACTCCTTTAAAAAGGACCTAGGTTTGGACAGAAACATTAGTTCATCTGAACTTTTCATTTCGGATTGCAGCAATGAGTGAGCAGTATACGGTAACCTCATTTCTTTTGAACACTGGTGTAAAACTGTTTGCCAACAATGTTTACTGATTATAATGGCTCTTGATACGTATCTACTTATGTATATGCTATACTATATAATATTACCTCATTAAATCAAGTAGCCTCATTAAATTACACTCCAAGCATAATGGTCGAATATGGTGGGTGAGTAGAATTACCGGAGCTGGAGGTGTATTAATATACTAACATCAAAAAATGGCGATACGCCCTCCACCAACACCCTACAAGCCCCCACTCCTCAATTTTCCACCCCTAAAATCTCAAACCTCGAAGCTTGAGCAATTTTTCTTCCGTTGGTGTTTTTCTCCACCGCCACTGGACTGATTTTCAAAAACTACAAAGTTTCTCTGTCCTTGGCACAGTAGCAATCTTATGTAAAAATTATATTCAAATCTTAGCAGTGCTTTTCAAGTTATAGACGGGCCAAATAGTTACGGACAGACGGAAAGGCAGACCGGCAGACAGACCGACAAACAGACCGACAAATAGACCGAGAGACAGACAGACCGACATACAGATCGACAGTCAGGCCGACAGACAAACCGACAGAATTGAGTGGAATGGGGATTTTCGTGATGTACATGTCACATAACAACCCAAAAACCATATCTCATTTTCCAAAAATTTTGCGCATAGTATATCTCCTCACCCATTGGCATATTGGGTGAAGGTTAAAATTGCGTAAGAGAAATATTTTTTCAAAAAAGTAGAGTTACCTTTGACATTTTATTTCCTTTCTGCTTGATATCGCGGATGTTAATAATCGCTTAAACTCCAGAAATACGGTATATGAATATCAGTAGATACAATTTAGAAACATGAATGAGTATTTGATTACCATGGCATACCCGGTGATCCAAGCAGATAGTTTGCTTTTCCTTAAAAAAAAAAACGAATGTGAAATTTGTCGATACATGGAATGTAGGCTAGCCAAAGATATAAATGTTAGAACAAGATTACAAAAAAGGAGTGACAGTTACTCACGTTCTTTTATAGATGCCTACATCCTAAACATAATTTATATAGTACAGTGTTATACGAGGAATATGTAATAGTGGAAGAAGCTTAATCTGAATTTAATTAGCCTACAAACATAGGCGTATTTATATTCTCCGCCTTACTAAAGAGTTATGAGATTACAGAAAATGTCTGCAGTTTTTACTTCCAATGCCATGGTTTTGTATGTTACATGAACAAGTAACTCGTTTCGGTTATACACTTTCCGTAAGTTCTGCAGCAGGCAGCAGCGGTTGCCGCAGTGGAAGACTCTTCGCGTTCGAATCCCGCCCAAAGAGAATTTTTACTCTTGATTATGGATGTTGTGATTATCCGTAGGTGGGAGACGGTCTCTGACTGTCGAACGCGGAGGTATCACCCGGCGGATCTCGTAGGCAGGGCCAGAATGTGTGCATGTTGCATGCACACGTGTTCCCTCGTTCTGGAGTCAAAAAAAAGTTAGGTGACATTCTACTATTATATTACGCACCACCAGCAGAATGACACGTAACTTACGGGCTCTGCAAATAAGATCCAAATATAATTCGTTGAAAAAGCTCAAACATCTATTCTGGAAGTAATATACAATAAACCCGTATTATACCTATGTAAACGCTGAAAAGAAATTCTTAACATACAAAGATTGTATCTTAAAAGTATTATCACAAATCAACATAAAATAAAAATCATATGTTGTACACGAATTACCATTATAATACTAGGTACAAGAATATTACTTTGCTTACCCCAAAGAAAAACATTATGCTAAGATCATTTACCTAATACCTAATAGGATACCAGCAAAAATTAAAAAATATAATAAATATAAGTTAAAAAGGAACTGAATTGTTGGTTAAGGGCAATAGCAAATTAAAACATACTAACATATAGACACCAGTTTTGAGTAAAAAACATTCTAATAATAATAAAATTGAAATTCATGAGACACAACGTCGCACACGATGTGTAATATGGTTAGTTATTTCTATCTCCATGGAACCTCCATCTGGAGGAAGCGGTCCCATCTAAGCCTCCATATATAGTAATTTCTTTACAGGAAGTTATTCTATTCAACGATACTCGTGCCTTCTCAGTGCGATGTATTATAAACCACCTTTAGGTACTCTTATCGCTCCCAATTACTTTTGAATAGACGTTACTTGCTGTTATACCTGAATCTTTAATAGGTTTTATTGACACATGATTTTGAAAGTCATAAAAGCTGGCGGCCACTTTCCTACCCTCTTCTGCCATTGAATTAGCTACAGACCACTCGCACAGCAAACTGCTTTCTATCCCATAGACAGATATCAATGCCTAAGCAAACAATACTGTAACGCCTTCGTATAGCTGCGACCTTGACTTGAGCGGCGAGGAGTCACCTTGAAGAATCGTCGCTTAGGCAACCAGTTACGCGACCGTGTGTGAGCGCTTCCGGCCATGTCTGAATAAGTGTTATTCCGAGATTCAAGAATAATCGAGATCCGTCTGGAGGCACCTGCTGCCATCCAGACTACTTCCGTGGAAGTCCACGACTTGATCTGGAAAACGATGGAACATTTCTCGACGCGCCGATAGGGGATACATACCCGACCAGATGACGGAAGCAGTTAGCACCAATCGAAACAGTCAAACACGGCGGAATGTCGCAGTCCAGTGAACATGGTCATACATTAGTGTTATAAATTAGACTTAGGAAAGTAAACACCGTGTTTTCGTTACAATATCTCTTGCTCTTGTGAAACTACAATGACTCCCTTACCAGACACACTTATTCTTTGCACTATTTCCCTTTAATGTCTTACACAAGCCTTGTCTGATACTGTTTCGGCCCTTTTACACATACTAAGTAAGCAGCTCAAAAAAATCGTGACATTTCTATTTTTGAAAACAACGTATGCTTCTGACTTTACAATTAATAATAATGCTCTTAATTTTTCAAACAGTACGGATCGCTTTCTCCTGATGGCGCTCAAGGAGTCATGTATTCCAGTAATATAGCTTTCGTTTGATCGACTACAGACGATGAACTATGGATAGCTGTTTCGTGCTATTTGGCAACTCCTCAGCATGATCTACACTCAATATGCTGAGCATCTATCCTCTATTCGGAGTAGCAGGTCTATAGAAGTAAGACAGCACAAATCTGTCGCATAAAACAGCTGATCCGATATAACGTCCTACTATCAATACAGCTCCAGTATTATTCAATACGTAATATGTGTGGCAATAATTTATAACTAAAAAACATAAGAAATAGTTTAAGCAGCGAGACAACCCACGCGAAATCTGTACACACTCGACAGATTCTTAGGATTCTGGGACAACAGACACACATCAGATGGAAATCGTGACTACCTGTCCACATGCTGTACTGTAACTGTACTTTGTCATTTTTTGGTGACCAAACAATATTAATATGTGCTCGATGGATAGATGTATGTGTAATATGAGGATGGTCATTTAGTCTATTTATGATTATTTAGACTACTACTTATGGAGAACACCTTCATTTTTGATCTCATACGAAGCTTCAAAAACGATTCAAAATAAGTAGACATATCCAACTATAATTCAACACAAAACTTTACTGGCCATTGATTGCAGACTTTTTAAGAACAAGAGATTTTCTGAAAATCACCAAAATAGCTTTGGAATGGTCCAAAAAGTCATCACTAGCCTTATGTTGTCCATATTAGTCTTAAGTTCACAAATAAAAAAAATGGCCACAATTGAGGGTCAATATTATACGAAGGAAGAAAAAGCCATTAAAGTCATTCGTTAGCAAAAAGCATATTTCAGAAACCATATGAAAAATATCTATCAAGGTGAAATTGTGATCTCAGAATACATATTTATAAGCCCGTATCTCCGCACACCGATAGAAACCGTTATGGAAACATGCATGTATACCTAAAACGCGACATTTTATCACAATTAATAGAAAGCTGCCGTCTAAACTAGCCTGTAAATATAACTTAATCGCCTTTCGATATAAAAGAACAACAAAAGACAATGTATTTTGGTATCGGAGGTATCTGCATTATGTCTATTTAATCTACCATATACCGTGTGTTTCAAAATTCGACCCTCGCCATTGGGATCTAGGAAACGGTAAGAGATACGAAGTCTCTTGAATGGGGGCAAAGTTGCGAATTTAGGTAACTAACAAAATGCCGCTTAGAAATTCAAAGTACTTTCGAAGAGAGACGGAAAAAACGAATTCTCCCAAAATCGATTCAATCTTTTTCCCTGACCTTATTTGTAGTGGGATTTCAAAAAAGTTGCACATTAACTTGGCACCTTCTCTCCTCTACAAGATAATATGATTAGAATTTCAGTAACACGTCTCTTGTCCTCCAGTGTTAATTTTTCTTAAGGACGCCATATTGCATTTTTGTACAGATGAATAGACTTTTCAAAGCTGATTCCAAAAACGATTTGTCATAAATTGACATTGCCAAACCTTAGTTATTTAAAAAATCAGAACTACCTAGGTAGGCCTTGAAATTATCAAATAGTCATTTATTACATATATGTTACCAGATTTATCGCAAAATCATGTTCATTTTCCTGAGTTTCAAAATAAAGTACATGCAGTGGCGTAGCTACCTTGGGTGGCACTCGGTGCGGAAGTTGGTTGTGCCACCCCATCGAAAGTCAAAAGGAATACATTTTATATGATCTATAAACGTCATGGACCATTTAATATTAATATTTAAAATAGCGAACAAATAACACACCACCATAAACACTAAGACAGAAGATATATTTTTATCTTACAATTAAGATCTATTCTTTCACGCTTTGACAGCTGCAAACTCAGAAATACCTACATCAAAATTTATATTTTGTATTGCCTCGTGTTCGATGGATTTTTTAATAATCTTAGTTTACTAAAACTCCTTTCATATGAAGCTATTGTCACGCAAGACGTCATAAACAATTTTAGTTGCTATCATAAGATTTCTAAGAGATTCTGTAAAATCCCAACTTTAAGAAATCTAGAGATACCCAATTTAGCTTTTAAGTGTCTTCGCAGTCTTGGTATCTCTAAAAGTAATTCTGTACCTGATACCTCATCATAAAAATCAGTAAATTTGGATTTAGCTAATTTCAGTTTTTCAGTCCAAAAGCAAAGTATTTGTTTGTACGATCTCGAACAATGAAACTAGGTCTTGAAGAGACTTCGATCTTGTCTAGAGTTCAACTCTGAATTGGTCCAGACATCCCAACATATCTTTTTTAAGTTCTTCTTTCAGTGTGAGTCCTGCACCACTGGCCATCTATCTCACCAACCACCCGTTTTTTTACGACGAAGTCGTCTATCTGTTGGAATATCGTAGTCTTCAGATTTTTTTGCAGCAATATCTACTGCCTTCTCCACAATGTGACCCCGTTTTTCTACGATATAAAGACAAAGTGCCTCTATTTCTGTAGCAGTTTCGTCAACAGTTAAGCCTTTACTTTGCAATGTAATCTCTTCAGTATTTATTGCCCGAAGAAGATCTGTGCTAGCGACTAAATGTTTTTCATGTTTGTGCATTGGCCCCGCCGCCCCCCCTTGCTACGCCACTGCTTCAGGGTGCCCTACGTGCGTAATGACCAAACTATCACGGATCAAACTTGAGAATTAAGAGAGGAAATTACGCTTTCTTGAAAATGTAATACCTACAACATTTTTTGAAGTTCCTTATATAGTTTTTTTCTGGACAAAGAGAGATTAGCGACAGGCAGTATAGTGTCCGGCACCAACGATCCACAGGGCTTACGTCACTCAATTGAGGAGTAAACTCATCCAGTCTTATGGTGAGGCTCATGTCGTTGCTCTTGACATCACGAAATCGTTCGATCAGCTGTGGCACGCTGCCCTCTTAAGCAAAATTCCATCCTATGGCCTCCCAGCAAAGCTTTGCAGATGGTTGGCTCACTTTATCTCTGGCCGCAAGATATCCGTCGTAATTGACGGGTTTCTCCTCTTCATCCCACAACGTCAACGCGGGTGTTCCCCAGGGATCGGTCTTGGCTCCGACACTGTTTCTCTTTCATATCAACGACCTCCTTTCCTGCACGATCAACCCAATCTACAGCTTCGCTGATGACAGCACTCTACATGCAGGAATATTACAATGACAAGCCGATCTCTGCCGCTGAGTTGGAAAAAAGGAGACTAGCGATGACTTCCTCTCTGAAAAGAGACCTGGAGGCTATCACTGCTTGGGGATGCAACAATCTTGTACAGTTCAATGCTTCCAAAACGCAGTACTGTACTTTGACGAACAAAAAGCGTCCCTGCGCTCACGCGGTTTCGATGGATGGTAGAGTTCTGCCAAAGAGCCATTCATTTCGGCTGGTCGGAGTCCAGATCACCGAGGACCTGATCTGGCACAAACACATCTCGTCAATAGCTGCAGCCGCTGGGAAAAAGCTGGGCTATTTGCTTAGGGCTAAGAAGTACTTTCCTCCGCATGACCTTCTCACTCTGTACAAGGTCCAGATAAGGCCTAGCCTCGAGTATTGCTCACACGTTTGGGATGCTGCCGCCCCAACTACATTATCCAAGCTCGATGCTGTCCAGAGGAGGGCGGTCCGACTGATCGATGACTCTTCTCTAAGAGACAGTCTCGGGACTCTTTCGCACCGACGGGCTGTCGGTGATCTAGGTCTTTTCTACCGTTACACCAACGGGCTTTGCTCCTCAGAGCTATCTTCCATGATGCCGATGCGCGATGTGCCTGCCAGACAGACCCGCCTGACTTTGGCGTCCCATCCTAACCGTGTCGAACTTCGTACATCCAGAACCGGTGGAACAATCTACAAGAGGAAGCTTTTCCCAGTTCTATTAACCTTATTCAGTTCAAAAATCGTATTGATAAAATTTTTTTGGGATCATCGTAGCAGCCGCGGTTTTCCGGCATTTAGGCTTCTGCCTGCGCGTCTGCTTCGACATAAAAAAAAGGATGGACAAAACTCAAGACTCCTAAGGCTTGCGTAAGTTAAACGAATGCCGAAAGCTTCACTCACCGCAAACTTTGCAGTAAGTGATAAACTAGGTATAGTTTCAAAAAGTAAAAAAGCACGGTTTAATAGCAAATCGAACTAAAAAGTAGAAAGTAGTTTTCAAGTATAGGAGAGTTTACGTTATTGTAATAACAATCAAGTATATCTAATTAATTTGGAATAATATCAATATATAGATATTAAATGTAAAATAGTTTTTTAAGTTGCTATTCTCAAAATTGAGAATATGTGTAGTTAACTGCACCCACGCCTTTTTACTATAATTGAATTTTTTGTTAATATCTTAAGATCAACTGAAAGTCATACTTGATTGCTGGAACTCCTGTTGCAGTTGCAGTAATAAAAACTCTCCTATACTTGAAAATGTTTATCTAGCTTTTAGTTCGTTTTGCAATTAAATCGTGTTTTTCAGTTTTTTAAACTAGAATTTATTTTGTGAATTTGTAGTCTCAAAACGAAAACGACAATAAACGTACCTACTTATAATTAAGAACTTCGATTTCATGTATACTTTATATTTCTAGATCTAAATTTCTCAAACTTCGAAATTTCCAATTTTCAATTTGGATTATTGCCATCGGCCGTTGCCGGTGGGGATGTAAATTTTCAAGTGGATGATACTGCTTGAAATACATACAGGTCAATAAAAGCGTGTTAAGAAAATAAAGAAAAACTGATATCTTTCAAGAAGTGCTTGCAAATAAATCTTTCACACAAATCAACGTTTCCTTACGTTTTATAAACACCCAGGTGCAGTTATTTCAGCATGTGCTACAAATATCTCGTCCTCCGGCGTATCCAGATTTGGGCGCGTGGGCACTACCACACTTTACCTTGACCACTCGCAAGAACTACTCTCGTTTTTTTCCTCGATTCACTGCAAGTCGCGACCGACGATGAAGTACTGCCACAGCAATGGGATCGTGTTAGTTCGGTGATAATCGTGAAGAATTGTGGTTCATCCGCGACCGCGGTCTAACAGCGAATGACGGAGGAAGCAGGGTGCGCGCCTGAAGATATTGCCGCGCGGTTTAAAGCGCGGTGCGGCAATCGGACAAAGCGCACCTCGTAGGTGCGGTTTTACAGGGCGATCAGGACTTAATAGATTTTCCAAGGATCATAAATCTTTTTCGATTTCACGAGGAGATTAAAGCAGGGGAGGTCAACTCACGGCACGTGTAGCACTATGTTTCATGGCAGAGCTTTAAGAGTGGTACCCAAACATTTACTGAAAGAATGTGTCGTCTTTAAGAACTTTCTTGCAATTTATAACGACCCTAAAAAATAAAACCTAAGCACCAGTTTCTTTACACTCGTATCGCTGATTGGGTACGAAATACGGACTCCTACTACAAATTTGGATACAGAATACGCTTAAAACAGATCCAAACGTAGACTTCTTTTTCTGCCCCCTGCTGTCTTCCATCCCACCTTCTTCTTCCGAAAGGCAGCAATAGCTTGTAGATTTAGGCAATTGACAGGACCCTGGTTTGCGCCAGTAAGGCCAAAAACTCCCAAGTAAATATCTCAACGAATCAATTTCAATGAGAAAGACGGACATGGGATCTTGCCATTCAGGAAAATAATGGCTTACTTTTAAAAAAATATGTCAGGTTCAGAAACCTTGTTATACTCGGGAAGCGGAAGGGAAGGGAGGACAGCAACAAAATACATCGCGCGCTCATGCTAACGTAGTATCTTTTAAAATATGGTGGGCTTCCCGAGCGCCGTCTTTGTCAATTCGAAAACATGCCCCGTTAGCACGGGCATGCGATGTGTTACGTTGCTTTTTTCCTTTTCGGTTTCCGAGTATAGAGTCCGTCATAGCTACGAATGGAACATAACATTGGTTCAGGAAGGGTATATCCTAAAAGATTCAAATTACATTATAAAGGCAAAAATGTCTTCTAGTCGACATGTGCTCACCATAGCACTCAGTGTTTCTTATTTGGTTAAATTTCACTAACAATCACATACTTACCTTACTTTATCTATTTATTCCCATTGACGATTCATATGACCAATTCACGCTGATAACTCCAAAATATTGTAAGGAAACGGTTTTTCATCTCTGACTGGTATACCTTTTCTTCTAGAGAACATCCAGAGCATTTTCTCTGAAGACCACAGTCAATGCGAACGCGTTATCCTTGCTGAATCAGCCTTTGGTTCGAGCTACTGGCTCGAACTGCTTCAAATAGTTCAGTCAGTCTTTCCTTTGAGTGTTGGAGGCTTCAGCGCGTACGGGTTCTTCCTGCTTCACGGGATGCTTCATACCATGTATCATGACCTCTTGACTGGTCACTCGATGAACCTGCTCCTCAAGTCTTCGCAGTTGCGCGCCTCGCTCAGAAAACGTTTGTTGGAGGTACGCGTCTCGTTCAGCAAACATCTGTTCGACTTCCTCGTCGTCTCAGATAACCCAATGGTGAATTCGTCCCGTTTGACGTGGTCCATCTTCTCCGAGAAGGCCTGGTTTCCATTCTGGAGGGCGCAACTGGTGTCGCCCGGTTTTTCTCCTCCTTCAGCATCTGCGAGAGGGCCTGGTTTTCCTCGATCAGCATAAGCGACAGGACCTGGTTCACCCCCTTCAGCACACTGGTGCTGTCGGCCACCGTCTAGAAAAGGTCCTGGTCCTCCTCCTTCATCTCCTTCGACATGACCTGGTTCTCTTCCTGGAGAGCGTCGTCCAGTCTCTGGGCAAGAGCCTGGTTCTCCTCACTCAAGGCTGATAGGATCAACTCAGTGTCGACGGATCCTGAAACCTCAAATTCTCTGGATCTTTCCAACGTCGCCTTCAATCCCGTCATCTCGAGCTCAGCCTCTTCCAGAACCCTCTTCAGGTCCACCACTTTCAGATTGCACAACCTTTTCACAGGTATTGTCTCTTGCACGCACACACGAGCTTGAAAAAAAACGTTCAATGTCGCTTAACACAGTCACTCCCGATGCACCAGGTACTAGCGCCACATCGGACACTATTGTCTCGAAAATACCGTTTTAACCATTTGAAGGATAATTTATTACTCCCACTTTAATTTAAGACTATGTCGACTGGACTATGGTATTCCGCGTTTTTGACTGTCTGTCGACCCTACCTGCTTCGCATCGACGAGTCCAGAAGCACTTCCGCGTTTTCCAGAGTCTTCTTCTAAGCTGATAGGTGGCGGTCGATACTTCTGGATGGGTGACGAGTGTACTTAATGCGCGGTCGCATTGTTTCTGAAAAATCTAGTTACGAGGGCACTATTTGAGTGATGAAACTGGGGCTATAATAATAATAATAATAAGCCTTTATTGCCCAACAGCTTATCGCCAATAACAGAGCAATTTATAAAAATAAAACTTAGCTTAAAGGTATTAAGTATATATATATATACACATATATAAAATGGTAAGTCTTAACTTAGAAAACGTGTCTTATTCCTTATCTCATTATAATTGCAACCAAAAATGTCACAGGCGTTAGCAATTTTATTGGCATTGTTACTCATCATATTAACTGGCGCTTTGATAATAAGTTAGTCTGTGCTCTTTGACAGAAAAAAGGAACACTAGCTCGTGAAGCTAACCGCGGCACCAGAAATTGCAACTGCGAGAGAATTTGGGGACAGTCTACTTGACCATGCAACAATTTATATAAAATCAATACAGAAAATTGATTCCGTCGCTACTCTAAAGATTGAAACTCAAACTTTTGCAAAAGGTCTTTGTAATCGGAACCTCTTGCAGGGTATACTCCATCAGTTTTGAAACTGAAAAACTTCAAAAATTTTTTCTGAATTTTATCAACAGAATCAACATATTGTTTATAAATAGGGCTCCATATAAGAGATCCAGATTCAAGTTTTGACCTTATCAGGCTGAAAAATAAAGATTTCAATGTACAGATATTGTCGAAGTTCCTACAGTTTCTGATTATGAACCCATACGTTTTCGATGCACTAGAAATTATTTGGTTTATACTCGTATGATAATTAAAGGTGAGTTCCTCGTCAAAGTAGACACCTAAATCTCAGTTTCACAACGCTCCAAGACAGAATCCTCCATTGTGTAGTTGTAAAATATAGGATTAGTCTGTCTAGAAAAAGTGAGTATTTTACATTTAGAAATATTTAGAAAAAGGTTGTTATTTTCATACCATCTCAGTACAATGTTGATTTGCAACACAACACAATCCTCTATCGAGGAAATAGTAGAGAAAAACTTCAAATCATCAGCAAACATCAACTTCAGACAGTCCAAAGAAATACATAAATCATTAACAAAAAGAATGAACAGTAGGGGTCCTAAGTTAGAGCCTTGAGGAACACCGCTGGTAGAAATGTAAACATGCTGTTATCCAATCTTTGACATAAGTATTGACTGAACTCCATTAGATTGGTTAAAGTTGAGCGTTGCCTCATAAAACCATGTTGATGGATCGAAATATGGTCTTTCACGGACAGATGTATTCGGTTATACAATATGATCTCCAAGAGTTTCGCAAAATTGTTTAAGATAGACACTGCTCTATAATCAGAAACTAAGTTATAATTCTTTGTTTTTGGAATTGGGCACACCTTTGCAGCTTTCCATTTGTCTGGGAAAAGAGATGTGTGCAAAACTAAGTTAAACAGAATCTGCAATGGAAATACCAATATTCTAAAAACAATCCTTGACAAAGAATGATGGAATTTGGTCAGGTCCTGCAGTTAGCTTGTCTTTTAGCTTCCGATTGGCAGCATTTCATCGACCGTAATTTGTTCACAACTAATATCTATTGCGGCATTATGATCGAACTTTAAGCTATGATTGGCATCAATATTATCCGGTAACGAGTAAACACTAGAGAAAAAATCGGCAAAAGCATCAACTATACCTTGGGGATCGTTAATGGACTCATCATTGCAGGTCATATTGTTAGGTATTCTAGTTGTGTTGTTCTTACTATGGATAAAGGCCCAGAAAGATTTAGGATCTTCCTTCAAATTATCTTGCATTGATCGAAAATATATATTATACGCCTCTCCAGTTATATGTTTAAACACTCCTCGAAGCCTTCTGAACTCTTGATAATGTGTAAGAAATCTAGTTTGCTTGAACTTTCTATGAGCTTTGTCTTTTTGTTTTACAATTTTAATAATTTCGCTTGTATACCAAGAAGGATACTTGCGCTTAAAGTTTTTGTACCGCGTAACATGTGCATCCAGTACCTCATTAAGCTTATTATAAAAACAAGTGACAGCATCGTTAGCATTAGTAATATTTGTTAGAATGTTCCACTCTACATCCAACAGACTATTATATAATAAGATAAAATTTGCACGTCTGAAATTGTAACGCTTTTGATGATTATTGATTGGAAAATGCTTATTACTTTTGTACAACATGTTTACCGATATTGATAAGGATGGATGATACCTATCTTCATTAACTAGGGGATTATCATCATTAGATACAACACATTATGGGTTATGCATGAAACAATGTTAAGCCAAAATCCCCTGATATTGATGCAATCAAAGAAAATACGAAAAAATTGAATGATTAAGCACTTTGCACGTCTATAGATTCATAGGCTAAGTATAATCAGACATTGTTATATGAAAGAAAAAAAAAATTAATATTGGGTAAGTGCATAATTTTTGGAGTTCCTGCTAAAAATTGTTGACTACTGGCCAAAGGGAGCAAGGAAAACAAGAAAAACGACAAAAACCAAATTTTAAGAACTTTCAAAATTTAACTTCTCTAAAAAACATTTTTCGAGTAGGACACTAAGATCTCGAACTTTTTTGCTGTTTGCTCATAACACTGTCGCTGCTGAACCGATTTTCGAAAATATTTTGTTACCTACTATGGCCCTAAAGCATATCCCTCTCATGGATGAAGTGGTTTCCGAGATTATGTGCCTATTGAAACGTCAGTGGGCGGACGGACAGACAGTGTGTCTTAACGTTATGATACATGAAAATTAACTCATCGAAATTAAAAAATTTTCGAAATGTGCGGAAAGTACCTAGATTTAAAGAGAAATCAGTAAAGAAAGATCGGAAGCATAAAAATATGTTGGGAATACCTCGAGCAAATCGATGTTTTTCCTTCCTTGCAAATGGCAAAGATAAAAATTTCATCTTGAAATGGTCAAGTTTCTCATTTGGGAGGGTCGTATCTCAATATCGTTATATTCCGGATACAGGAAAACTATACAAGCTCCTCCCCCAAAAACAACAAATTACAATTTACGTAGAAGTGCACGTACCTTATTTAAGTACATGATTTTAACATTTTACGCTTTATTGCAAAATAGCAAACAAACTCGCTCGATATGCGAGATAAAATGAGATTTACAAAGCAAACCAACATCGCAATGCACAATGGTACAATCTAAGATAACAAGCAAAAAGGTAGAACAATTTGCAGCTAAGATGCACTCACCTTTCACTGCAGTTAAACAGATACTCTAAAATTAGTATACAGTATTCACCTACTTATACAAGGACCTTTACACTTGTTGCTATCTTATCAATAGCACGAGGCTAAGGACGACGGAAAACTATTTCTGACAACATTGTGGTTCCATTCGTGACGGAACTGTTTGTCTGAATGTCTCTTATGACAAGAGAAAATATAAAGAAATCCGTAGTAGTCTACTTCATAGGTGAACGTTTTAGAAATCATATAAATATCGATGTGATGCGTTGTCCAAAGGTAATCAAAATGATAATGAGGCTTCGAAGCTCCCTCATGTAGAATACGTCCAATAACTAGGAAACTAATGTCATCAACTTTTTTGTTTTGAAGAGATCTATCTGAATATGCAAAAAGCAAGTAGGTATATTACTCTCTAATAAAAAATGATGTTAGGCATTATAGATCGAGTCAATACTTCCCATACATATACAGGGTGTTTCACAATTTATCCGAGAAATTTTAACCACATATGCAGTGTTACAAAAGAAGCTGATTTCTCAAAAAAAATTAATAAAAGTCGTACAGAAATCGAGATAATAAAATAATACAGCTTAACAGTTCATTTACTTATAAAAGCTGTTCAAAATTGTTTCCATTGACTTCAATGCAAGCCTGGGCGCATCTAATCCAATTTCGGCGCACTAATTCAAATACACCTCCTTCGTGCTGTGCCTGAAGGCTCAAATTATGGGCAGGCACTGTGATTCGGTCACGCAATTCTTCAATACTCCGAACTGGAGTACGGTATACCTCGTTTTACAAGTATCCTCATAAAAAGAAGTCCAGAGGATTTAGATCGGGAGACCGTGGAGGCCATGCAATTGGTCCACCCCTTTCGATCCAGCATATCTCGTACTCGTATACCTGATTCAAAAAATCACAAACTTCTAAACGAAAATGCGGAGGTGCCCCGTCGTGCAGAAATCACATCCGTGCTCGGATCGCCAATGGCACATCTTCGAGAAGGACCGGCAATATGAACGGTCCGATTAGACGTTCACCGACAATACGCAGAAAAACGATGTTGGAAGTGTGTCTGGACCACTGCGTGAGGATCCTCAAAGGACCAAACGTGTGTATTATGAAGACTGGTTATCCCATTACGAGTAAAAATATCTTCATCGGTGGCCAAAATATCAATTTATTTCAGGGTCTGTGCCGTCGGCTTGACCCTGGTGAGATTACGTCCCCATTCCCTACCCTAATGTATGCCCCTGTGCCCCTCCCTCTACTCCTATTCTACGTCGGCTAGCCCTTCTGCGCAGTCGCGGCCCAGCGTTTGCCTTCCGTTGTAACGCCACGAATGCCGCGAGCCGCGATGCAGGAGGATCCTCAGTACGCTTTATTCCGCGCTAGTTTATGCTCCTATTCTGTACATATTCTTCGCGAGAGTGAATACAGTGCATTATGGTATGATGGTAAGTCCCCTTTGTTTTGATTTCATTCCCTCTACTCGAAATCATTAATGCCTAAACGGCATGTGAAGTTGTTTTGTTATTTACCTAGCAGACCGACATGTTGTTTGAGTTCATTACTTCAGACATCCTTTATGATTCAGAAACATCAATTTTATTGTTGTGAAGTGACTTGCACCCCCGGTCAATCACTTACATTACCGAGGGTAGTTCGCACCAAGCAGCTATGTACCTCCTTGTAGTTCCTTCTTGCTATATCAGCAGTTTCGGCTCGTTATACGTAACCGTCGGCCTCGACTTTCGAGCCGTCGGCTCAACTAGCTTGAATCAGTCGTCGGCTGGATTCGTGGACCCGACGACTGGAATTACGGAGACGTCGGCCCGATTCTGAGCGGTCGGGTCACTTAACAGGCCGTCGGATTGTTTCGTCGAGCCGTCGGCTCATTTTTGGGCCGACTGATCAAGTTATTAGCTATCACTTCAGAATACCTTGGCTGTAGAGATTCTAACGGGTTGCTGTTTCTTGTCTGCAGGCAGCTCCAGGACCGTCCACTATGACTCTGGGCCAGTTAGCGGATCCGTCGCCAGAAGATCATGGAGACTCGCGGATCCTCAACCGCATTAAACTACTGGCATCGCAACACCTTCCGGATGGTTGGAAGAACTGGAAGGTGGCCATTACAGAAAGAACATCTCTATTTGAGGATCCAATGGATCCTCAGCTGATCAATAAGTTGAGATTTGCCCTTCCAACGGTCGGACTAGCACAAGCATTTATCCCGGATTGTAAGAACGTATCGGAGAAAACATATCGGGAAATGAAGGTCCGGATGCTGAATTGGCCTTTTTGTGTCGGTCTGGTTATTGGTCCTCCAGCCTTGGCGTGTCGAATAAGGGGATCTGCAGTTCATCACGAGCTAGTAATGAGCTCTCTGGACTCACTTCGGCCATTGTTCATCTCAAGAAAAGAAGCGGCTCGGAGATTGGCAGCAGATTCTTCGGAGGGCGAGAGTTCATCAACGGGTGCTTCTGATCCGAGGCCAAGAAAGATGAGTCGAATGGATAAATTGGAAAGGAGCCAGGAGGAACTAAAGATATTAGTTCAGAATGTTTTGGAGAAGTTCGAACAACGTTCCGACCAAGGCACGTCTATCCAAGATGTTAGGTATTCAGATGAGGAATCGGATTTGGATGATCAAGAAAATATTGCTCCATCTTTAGACCTAGGCTTCAGTGCACCAAACGAGACGGATATACTAGAAAGTCCCATAGATCACTTGGACTTCAGTTTTGTTCCGGTAACCAAGGAGCAAGAGCCTCTAGTCCCTAAAGCGGACGCACATATTGAAGCCCAGGGGGTGAACTGCTTGCGGCTAGGGCAGGCTTCTTTCAATAAAATCCGTTATGTTGATGCACAGAAGAAACTGCAGGCCTCGCCTGTTTTTAGCGCCTTAAAAGTCAACCCGCAACTTTCCAGAAATAAAGGAACGCCTGATATGTTAGCATCTATGGATGCTACTTTAGGCACTATTTTGCATGGCTTACTTTTACAACGAGAAGCCTTTTCGCATTCAGTAAAGGCCTTAGCGGCAAAGTATCCGGAACTGGGGAAGGATATCCGGGAGGAGTTCTGGGATCCTGATGGCGACTTTAAGGTCACATCAGATGCTTTGGTGCAATATGTGTGCGGTAAGCGCGCAGAAGTAATTGAAAAGAGAAGAAAGGCACTGCGGCCGCTCAATACACATGTAGGGGCGCTTATGGATGCAATTCCGCCCTCGAAGACTCATCTGTTCGAGGAAGAAGCATTTACCGACCTGATAAAACAATTTGGGCAGTTTTTTCGGGCCTCGAGGCCAAGATTTGAATCTCAAAACAGAGATGCAAGCTCCTTTCGTTCGCATTTGGCCACGCGAAAGATGCCACAGTCTACAATGGCAGGATCAAGCCAGCCGAGGTCATACACGAAAGATGCTGAGAAGAACCGATATAAGAAAGGAACCAGAAAACGCAGTTATTCCGTTTCAGCAGGATCATCGAACCCACACTCCACCCCCGTTCGTTGCAAGAAGCGCTGACAAAGATCAGTTCAGAGCAGGTCGCTTAAAGTATTATGCAAACCAGTGGCAAAAGGAAGGGGCGCCCAATTCTATTCTTCAAATAATCAGAGGTTATTCAATCCCTTTCATCCGAAAACCTCCATTATTCCACTTCTCAACCAGACACAGTTTTTCAACACCTCGTATGGAATCAGAGGTAGCGCAAATGCTAGAATGGGGTGTACTGGAAAGATCCCACTACTCGACGGGCTTCACTTCAAAGATGTTCACAGTTCCAAAAGCAGATGGTACCAAGCGACCAATTTTCAACTTAAAAGCTCTGAACGAATTTCTGCATCCAAACAAGTTTCACCTAATCAACCATTTAAAAGTCCCAGCCTTCCTACAAAAAGGGGACTTCATGGTCAAAATCGACATTGCGCAAGCATATTTCCACATCCCAATAAAGGAAAGATATCGAAGATTCCTCTCAGTGTTGCATCAGGGAATGCTATATCAAATGACCTGCCTGCCTTTTGGTCTGTCGAGCGCCCCTTCAACCTTTGCCAAGGTGTCAAATTGGCTAGCGAGCAGGTTGCGAGTCAGAGGGATACGTGTAATCGTATATCTGGACGATTTTCTGTTGGCGCATCAGTGCCCACTCATCCTGAAAAAACAGGTTTCAGAAGTAATGTTTTTTCTAGAGGCATTGGGATGGATTATAAACAGAGAGAAATGTATGTTGGAACCATGTACAACAGTGGAGTATCTAGGCATAAGGTGGGACACGGTAGGAAACACAATATCCCTTCCAAAGAAGAAACAAAAATGTATTCAGAAGACTTTGACTTGGGTTCAAACTCATCAACGATGGAACTGGCGCCAAGCTACAAGTCTCATCGGAAGGTTGAACTTCGCCAGCTTCGCGATCCCCTTAGGCAGGCTTCACGTTCGGGGGATGCAGAGAGCGTGCCTTCTCCTATCCGAATCAACGCCGAGGAAATATCTTCGAGCTCCCCCAGCTGTGTTATCAGCTTGTCAATGGTGGATCCAAAACCTTCACAAGGTGTCGCCAATTTTCCACCAAAACGCAACGATTTTCCTAACAACGGATGCATCGGACATAGGTTGGGGAGCAGTCTTAGAAAACGAAGCCTTGAAGGGATCCTGGTCCCACTATCAGAAGAATTGGCATATAAATGTCAGGGAAATGTTCGCTGTGTATGCTGCCATTCGACAGCGGAGTGGTCGACTGATTGGGAAGTCGATTCTTCTACAGTCAGACAACAAAACTGTGATAGCATACATAAGGAAGCAAGGCGGTACAAAGTCAAAGATGTTACATGTTACCGTAAAGCTGCTGACCCTTTGCAGTCGTCTGGATATCACTCTGACAGCTCACTTTATCCCAGGCATATGCAACGACGTAGCAGACAGCCTGTCTCGCAACAAGGCCCCTCCCGATTGGCATCTGTCTATCGAGTTGACCAATCAGATTTTCCACCGTTTCGGAACCCCGGAAATCGACCTCTTTGCTTCAAAACAGTCGAAGGTGGTACCAGCTTATGCGTCGATGGACGTACGGGAGAAACAGGCGGTTTTTGTAAACGCCTTCAGCAAGAGGTGGACTTATTCCCTGGCATATGTATTTCCGCCTCCAGCACTAATCCCCCGAGTCCTCCATCACCTGAACTCAGCGAAGGGAAGATACATTCTGATCACCCCCAATTGGGACAAGGTGTTTTGGAAACCGGATTTAATATCTCGGGTGATAGAGCCGCCTTTCAAGCTACCGGATCTGAACCTCCACTTGACAGATGCGTTGACCGGGCAGCCATTGAGCCAGGCTCGAGATCTTCGTTTGGTGGCATGGTTGGTACAGGGTGGGCTGCACTCGTACGAGGATGGTGTGAAGAAGATATTCAGCTGTTAGAAACTTCTTGGCGTGGTTCCACTTGGAAGACATACCGTTCTTCGTGGCTTGAATGGCTGAGATGGGCTAAGAGTAGGGAGATGTCACCTACCAATCCAGAGCCCTCAGGGGTAGCACAATATTTGGCGTATCTTTTTCGTGTTAGAAAGCTGTCTCCCGCCACTGTGAAGTTACACAAGTCCGTGATATCGTCGCTGGCCAATCCCCAGTTAGGAAGTCATCTCACGTCTCATCCTGTAGTCAAGCACATACTAAAGGCAATAGACATCAGTAAACCTATCCCTGGAAAGAAGTTCGTGTGGGATGTGTCCGATTTGATATCTTGGATGAAAGCCGATCAAGTGGACGAGGCTAGCTTATTCCAAGTCTCTCGACGGTTAGCATTGATCCTGCTATTGGCCTCTGGACGAAGAGTGCATGACTTGACTCTATTAAGGATGAATCCTGATAGGTTATTAATGGAAAGCAAGTGTGTAACGTTTTGGCCGGAGTTTGGATCCAAAACAGATAAGAGTAATTATAGGCAGTCGGGGTGGAAACTGCTCCAAAACGACGATACGAGCTTGGACCCCGTTTATTGGACGAAACGTTTTTTATCTGTTTCTGCGCATAGAAGGGCAGCAAAATCCCTGGATTCACTCTTTATCACTTGCCGGGCCCAGGTACGGCCTGCTTCAAGAGCTATCATAGCTGGATGGGTAAAGACAGCATTGGTTGGGGCAAATATTTTCACTTCGCCTGGCAGTATCAGAGCTGCGGTAGCATCGTCAAGATGGGAAGGTGAGCTTCCGTTAGACACCATTCTAAAAAACGGCAACTGGAAGGGTCAAGAGACCTTTTTCAAGCACTACTTTAAGGAAGTAAAACGTGTGTCTTGTCAGAGACCTCTTCATAGTATTTGTAAGGAAACATTTGTTCCTATTTAGCAGAGTACCTGTTATTTTAAATAATGGTTTAGTTCATTTGTTTTTTGTATTCTTATGCTGTTCAATAAATGTTTGAGTTGTGTTAGAGCTGTGTTCTTTTACAAATGCATACACACACGCGCAGACTTCTTTCTTAAGATGCAAAGTACCTGATAATATTTCTTTTTATGGAATCACAGTACGCTTTTCTACGTCGTCAGATACCAAACACTTCTCACCAGGGTCAAGCCGACGGCACAGACCCTGAAATATAACTCGTTTTTCCCCCGAAGGGTAGAAAACGATTATTTCAGGTCTTGCCTAGGCTTGACCCCAATAAGTCCTTGACGACTATTATGAGGTACTGAGGATCCTCCTGCATCGCGGCATTCGTGGCGTTACAACGGAAGGCAAACGCTGGGCCGCGACTGCGCAGAAGGGCTAGCCGACGTAGAATAGGAGTAGAGGGAGGGGCACAGGGGCATACATTAGGGTAGGGAATGGGGACGTAATCTCACCAGGGTCAAGCCTAGGCAAGACCTGAAATAATCGTTTTCTACCCTTCGGGGGAATAACGAGTTATATTATTGAAACTCAGATTTATAACTTAATTTCTGTAGGACTTCTATTACATCTTTTTGAGAAATCAACTTCTTTCGTAACAGTGCATATGTGGTTAAAATTTGTCGGATAAGTTGTGAAACACCCTGTATGTACTTCTATTTTAATTTTATTTTATAGTTCGTTCTGAGGGTAGCGTGTTCGAGCTTGTTCCAATTTTCTGATTTACCCGAGATTTCTCGTTTCAGTTTTCCAGGAAATCTATTGGAAATTATATAACAAAATATATTGTTGGAGAAAACCGTTTTAACGAAAAAGTGGATCAAGTCAGTCAAACAGGCCCATACTTATAGTTCATAGTCCACACCGTTTGACATCGTTGAGATTTATAAATTTCTCTCCAGCTCTATCGGCAATATCGAACATGTGGCACAGTCGCTATGAATCAATTCATTAAACGCCTACTAACCGAAGGTCAGACATCGGTCAGGCCCTGATGCAGGTATATCCAGAGACCCGAGTATTGAAAGTATGTATCTTCCATTCTCAGAGCAAACCGGGAAGTATGTGTGAAATACGTTTAATAGGTGCGTAGGTTAACCGGGGGTGGAAAGGTATAAAGATATTAACGCAAAAAATTAAGACATACCCTTCCGTCACTCTCTACAACCCCTAACCAACAGCTTTTAACCCCAGCAAGAATTTTTATGTAAATGATCAGGACCTTCTGAAACATTAAAAAATACAGTTTATATTATTTATATTTTTTCGTTTTTTGCCTATAGCTTTGTCAACAAAATCCGACCGGTATTATCCAAGTTATAGCGGGTTCAAGGATTAGCGGACAGACAGACGGAAATGAGCAAATATGTAAATAAAATAGAAGAATTTTTTTGCCAATACAAAATTAATGAAATTGGTTCAGCATTTGTAGGAGAGCTACAATATTTTTTTTAATTTTCTCTGGAGGTCTGGATATCTGTTAGCTTTCTGCATAATATGTTGATCATGATTTTGCTAAATGCCTGTTGGGAGTATATACAGGGCTTCCCAATATTTCGTGGACATACAAGTATCACGTATATTTACAATCAAAACAAGACGATTGGACATGATTTACCTCGATGAAAAAGTGCTTCGATTATCGGTGCGTCAAAGTCTTCTTTTCAAACCTCATTTTTTCAGATATATTTTAGACCGACAATCCGATTTGAATGACATTAGGAACACATGTGTTTTATTAAACATCCTAATATTTGACTTCTACAAAAAACTCCAAGGGTTCGAGAAGGGCGAAAACTCCTATATAAATTATAGCTGAATTTTTCCCAACGACTCTGAAACTTTTTTCAAAAGATCCTTTTATTTACCTAATTTTATGTTTCTTATAAAAACAAGCCTTCTTGCATGGCTCTCGAGAGAAACAATGTTTTTCGGAAGAGATTTTTAAGAAAATTCTTTATTACATCTGGTGTTAAATTTTTTTGCGCCATATTGTTATGAAAATGGGGGCCATATTGAACACTTTTTATGAAAGATTCACATAATTACCTGAAGTAAATAAAATGTAATATTTATTATCATACTTGTTTAATTTTGCTAACTACATATAATACAATTATTGAAGAATTAACAAGGCGCTTGAGAATCTCTTGATGCAACTAGTTTTTTTTCTCGAAAACTATCCGAGATGACCTGTTCTCATAAAACACAATAAATGAAGTAAATAAGCAGACCTGCTAAATAAAAAAACCAGGATCTTCGGGAAAGTTTCCAAGAAAATTCTGCTACAGTTATGTAGGGGTTGGGGTGGTTTTGACCCTTCTCGAACCCTTTCGAGAACGCCTAGCAAAACACATGTGCTCCAAATTTCATTCAAATCGGAGTATCGGTTTTTAAGATATCTGAAAAATGTGTTTTGAAAAGAAAACTTTGACTCCCTCTAACGGACAAAAAAGCACTTTTGCCCATAGGTGAATCATATCCAATCGACTTATTTTGAATCTAAAGTACGTGGTACTTCTATGTTAACTGAATAATGGGACACCCTGTATAATCAATTGCCCTGATGTTTCGAGAATATTTGCTAACAAAATCCCTTTAGTTTCTTTTTGACAATCCTGCTATCGATGTCGGAATAGCCAACACACTTGAGCATTTCTGTTTATCAAATGGATAATTACAATTCTTAAGCTTCGAAGATGCGTTGGTGTAGTGAAACTAAATGAGCTGCATACACATGTAAATGTCACTGGTTTACTCTCGTTTCTCGATCAACCACTCCCTTTGGCAGGACGCTTCACATTCAGAGGAGAAAAGAGAACGTTCGAATCACGAATATGCTATAAATGTTGCAATGTTTATTACGTTTGGGATAATGCATGCATTGGTGGATTATCAATGATGAACTTCCAAAGTAAATTATACCGGGGAAAAATACTTCCGCTTTGGTCTTCCATTATATTGTATTTATAAGAAATGAGTTTCTTTTATCACATTGGAATAAAACCGTCACTGGTACACTCTTTGAGCTTTTACCTTCCACGTCACTGAAGAGGAAAAATTGTAGTCGCAAAAATTTCGAAAATTTCCGTCGGTCTGTCTGTCCGTCTATCTTTCTGTCTGTCGGTCTATCCGTTAATCCTTGATCGCTCCATTATTTGGAAAGAACCGCTCAGATTTTGACGAAATCTACAAGGTTCCTGCTATGACAATCGAGCGGCGATGGACCTAGAGGCAAGAAACAAAAGAAAAATGATAATCGTTCGAATATTTTTTTATGTTTCAATTCAATTTTGAAGAAGACAACATGAAAGGAAAGAACTGATAGGATATATGAAGGAAATTCGCAAAAAAGGATACACAGTATTCTTGAGATATGACAAATTATCGATAAGTGGAGATAGCCTCACCTTGGAATAAACTAAAGAAAACAGAGGAGAAGCAGGTGACGGCAATGAAACAGAACGGAACCCAAACGAGAGATACGTAGACGTTAGGAAAGCGGGAGCAAGAACAACTAGTGAAAGATCACTAGAAGAAACTGTAGAAGAAAAAAGAAGTTAGCGAGAATAGCCAAAATTGCAAAAAACTAACCGCAAAACTGAAAGGGAGCGATGCAACGTTGAAGAACCTAGAAAATGAAAAGGATATTTTTTTAAAGTCAAGAAAAAATTACGCAAAAATAAGAACAAAATCAGAATAGGAACATGGAACATAAAAACACTGCTGAAGATAGGAAAGATGGAGGAGTTAGCGAGGGAAATGAAAAGACATAAAAGAGAAGTATTAGCACTACAAAAAATAAGATGGAAAGGAGAAGGAATTATTAAGAAGCAGAACTTCACATTCTTCTACTCCGGAGAATGGAAACAAGGACAAAGGGGACAGCATTAATAGTCAGCAAAGTAATACAGTTAAAGGCAGTTAACGGAAGGATCTCTTATATAATAATTAACAACAAACAGGCAAACATGCTATGAAAAGCTGTATATACAGAAATGATATACTGGTGATATTAGGGAATTTTAATGAAAAAATTGGGAGCATTACAAGAAGTAGCGGGTAAAGAGACATTATACGAAGAAACAACTGTGAATGTGTAACCTAGCAGCGATAACAAACACGTTCGTAGTAAGCACAAAATTCAGACATCAAAGGGAACATAAGATAACTTGGATGGTACCGGGAAAAGACACGGGAAACCAAATAGATCATATACTTTTATCCAAGAAATGGCTGAATATCATACATGACGTAAGGACCTATAGACGAGCTAACGTAGACTCCGACCATTTTCTGGTGATTGGAGAGTTGACAATTAAGGTAATTAAGAAAAACAGAGAAAAAAAGAAGCGAAGGCGAGAAAAGAATGCTTTGGTGAGGAATGCAAAGATAAAATTAAACAGGAAACAGTTAGCCACAAAAGCACAAGTAGAATCAAGAAGTGGACTGATAAAAAGATGCAAGAGATAGAGACAAATAGTACAGACAACTCCAGATTGTTCGAACTCATAAGATATGATCTTAAAGAACATGAAATCGAACATGTGGATGTAATAAACCAAAGGATTACCGATATTGCACCATAGAGGAGTATCTGAGGGTAGTGAATTATATGAACATGACATTTTAGCTGAGCTAATACAAAAGGGAGGGTTTTAATCGATTTCAGGTAGGCCTTTCACAGCATAGCTCAAAGAAAATTAGTAGAAGAAATGAGACACTTGAATATTCCAGAAAAGCTTATAAGGTAAAAATGACAATGGAAGGATCGAGAGCAAGAATTCTAGCAAAATAAGGGTTGATTCGCTGTCAACAACACTCTTCAACATAGTCGTAGAGGGAACTGTAAGAGCCACAGGAATTACACGAACCATTGCTTAAACCATGGCTCAACTAGTTGCCTATGCAGATGACGTAGCTCTTATTGCTAGGAGCAAAAGAAGTATAGAGGAAGCACTATTGAAATTATCTGATGAAAGAAAAAGAAGAGGATTAAATCAAGAGAAGACGAAATATCTAATGGTAACCGGACAAGACAAGAGCAGCATCAATGAAATTAAAATGGGAAAATACCAATCCAAAAGAGTATCTCAATTCAAATACTTAGTGGTGTTAGTGGCCGACAAAAATGAAAGGCCAGCGGAAATCACAGAACGGATACTGATGGGTAACAGATCATACTGGAAGTACTACAGATTACTACAGGTTAGGAACATAAGCCAGAGGAAGACCAAAAGTAAGATGGGAAGACCAAGTGTGCACAGTTATAGAAACCTTTGGAATTGAAAAGTGGAGAGAACTCTGTAAGAATAGGAAAGATTGGAAGAAGGTAGTGAATAATGCCAAGTTGCATGAAAAGCTATAAGAGGGGGAAAACAAAAACATGCGGAGTGGTTCCCCGCATTTTATGAACCAGAAGAGTCGATGTAGGCGGCTTTCTCTAATTAAATTATATTTCTAGCTATACGTATACATACTACATCATCAACTTCCCCGCCTGGTAGATGTTATGACCAACGGGAAATATTTGCCAATGCTTTTTTATAATGTTGTACAAGTCATCCATCGGAATTAAATTCAATTTTTACTTTTACTAATTCTTCCTTACCTGGTAACAGTAAATCGGGCCTTTGTCCAACTTAGGAGGTACACAGGCGTTGAAATTACAAAAGCTTTATTCAATGTTTTGTTTTCCAGAAAATAAGTGATGTCTAACAACCCTGACATCTCGGATTACAAGGCATGATGCGAAAGCTACCAAGTACACAATAGCTTAGGGTGATTTTTTTGCTAGTATCTTTTTGGCAACACTGTTTTTGACAGATGACGCGTGAATCGGGTCTTGTGTCATTGTCAAACTTGTTCAATTTGGTCTATAATTTAACCATGAATCGTCTTACGAACGAACAACGCTTGCAAATTATTGAATTTTACTATCAAAATTCATGCTCGGTTAAGAGAGTGCATCGAGCACTGCTTCCAATTTATGGGCAATTTGGTTGGCCTACTGAGGGAGCTATTCGGAAGATTGTGACTAAATTTCGAACCCAGTTTACATTATTGGACATTAAACTACCAACACGCAGACGTAGAGTGAGGACTGAAGAAAATATTGCGGCTGTATCTGCCAGTGTTAGTGATGACCGTGAAATGTCGATTCGCCGCCGTTCGCAGCAATTGGGCCTCTGTTACTCCACTATGTGGAACATTTTGCGACAGAATTTGGGTGTAAAACTTTATAAGATACAGCTGGTGCAAGAATTGAAGCCACACGACCTCCCACAACGTTTCCCATTTGGTGAATGGGCGCTGGCAAAGTTGGAGGAAGATCCACATTTTTATCGAAAAATTGTGTTCAGCGACGAAGCTAATTTCTGGTTGAAGGGTGGGTACGTTAATAAGCAAAATTGCCGCATCTGGAGTGAAGACCAGCCAGAAGCATTGCAAGAGCTACCAATGCATCCCGAAAAAATCACTGTTTGGTGTGGATTATGGGCCGGTGGCATCATCGGGCGGTACTTCTTCAAAGACGACAATGGCCGGAACGTAACTGTGAATGGCGAGCGCTACCGTGCGATGATAACAAACTTCTTTTTGCCCAAAATGGAAGAGCTGGACTTGGCTGACATGTGGTTTCAACAAGACGGTGCCACATGCCACACCGCTCACGAAACAATGGCCCTAACGCCGTTGGACTATTTCTTGCGGGGCCATGTTAAGGCTAATGTCTACAGGGATAAACCAGCAACGATTGACGCACTGGAAGCCAATATTGAAGCATTTATTCGTGAGATACCGGCCGATATGTTGGAGAGAGTGAACCAAAATTGGACCTTGCGCATGGGCCATCTAAAGCGGAGCCGCGGCCAACATTTACATGAAATAATCTTTAAAAATTAAATTATATCGATCGTTCTATCGACTCAAATAAAGATTTAATCGTTAAGTTGTGCGATCTTCGTTTGTTGAGGTTCTTCTCAATTTTGAAGATCTTATTTGTTCTTATTAAGGAATTTAGCTTCGACTTCACTGATAAATCACCAGTCAGTCTATACTGCGTCTCCAGATGTTTAATACGTTCCCAATTTTCTAGTATTCCTAGCATGAAAATTGTACAGTACACGAGTTCAAGTTTAATCTACAACGAATGTAGTAATACTTGAATTTGTTACTAGGAATCATAAGATTTGAAATTTTGGTTCGGTAACTAATTTTACATCATCAGGCTTCGTTGGTATAGACACATACTTATGCTTCTGTAATAATCATATCGATCAACATAAATAGCGGGTCTATTTTCTATGTCAAAATCTGATCTGATTCCAAAGTCGAACATAGCTTCCTGTTGTTCAGTAGGTATTTTCGAAATAATCCATTATTTGTATTTTTCAATTTGATAATTGGCAGTTTTTTAATGTTAGCCAATGAAAGCAAGCAACAAGGTCCTGTAAACGAGGTATAAATAAATCACCAGCATTCCAAAAAGTTATTATGTATGCTATCACGTGGCATACATCAAATTTAGGTACAATGGCCTCGATCACATTATCGATATATCGTAATTATACCCCCCAGACAATAATGAAGATCATTAGTGCTTTGTTTCTCACAAATGAAAGTTTTTTCTACTCAATTCATTGATCACATTACAGGGTCATGTAGAACAATACTAGCGACTGGGCATATTTGTAAATTTCCATTTGCGTACGTCTTTGAACAGGTTTCAGCCTATGAAGACAGTACTGAGTCTTATAATCACAGTTGCTTCTGTCTGTCTGTCGGTCTGCCTATCCGCTAATCCTTGGCCCGTCTATGACTTGGAAAGTACCGTTCGGATTTGAATGAAATTTTCATACTGTCTCTACTATCTCAAGGACGTGAAAGCTTTGGCGGTAAAGCTAGGGGCAAGAATACGAAAAAAAACTGCCAAGTTTTCGTTTGAAGTTTCAGAGGCTCCTGATCCTGATTTTTGACATAGGCATAATTATACGCCTTCAACCCTAGCTTTTCTACTCCCCTTTTAGACATGTCTCTCTCATCATAGATGTCCCCGTACCTGTACCCTTAAAACTTGATGGTCGTGCGTCTCATCCACCAGAGATTAGTTACAGCAACGACCGTGTGCGACCACAGAAAATTCTCTCAGCATGAGGGGGAGCGTCATTTAATTTCTTGCTATACATGTTCGTAGCTAACTTTTTGTTCAGAAAGGCTAACTTGAGCTGAGCATTATCCTCAACTAACTGATGACAGCGTTGCGTGGGAAGTACAGGGTCACCATACTTGACGCCATTTTCTTTTTTTCGAAAAGATTCCTTCAGCTAGAGCAGTTGGAAACCAATGGGCTCAACAAGTAGGTTAGATGATACAAAAAACCCAACTGCTCTAACTGAAAAGAAGAAGCTTCAGTGGAGTTATAAAATGTAAAAATCCATAAGGCCGCTTACTGCTCTTTCAAAATAAAATTATATACTTACTATTTTGAAGTCACATAACGACGATCTCGTTAAGAAAACGATTGTCGAATGAATTTACGACGCAATTTCCGCGTCGGACATTATCCACCCGCCATACGTGAAATTATGGATAAAGATTGATTCTCACTATACCTACATTCCGTTTCCATCCCATATCAGTTTCGTGAACGTTCCGTACAATGTGATTGTCTACACAGTATACCTTACGGATAATGTGCATACACACGCAATAGCCTGCTTTAAGCGAAGGCGAATATTTACTTTCAATAATTTACGGAACGGTTACGGAATGGAAACGGATGTATAGTGCGAATTAACCTTAACACGGAGAATTGTTGGATGAGCTTAAGTATAAGAAATAACGCTAGAGCCAATCCCGGCAGACATTCATTTTTTTGTAGGTTAGTAAGCCTTTTTTACTAATGAGAAACAAAGACGCATTTTGCAAATTGTTTAAGCACAACATGGCCTTCAAAGTCCAAAGAATGTTTCGTCAGACGATCTAGGATTCAAAAAATGTATGATAGAGAATGTATGGGCTGTGGGACTTAAGTTCATCTTTGGCCAAAATGTGCAATAATTTAATCACTTGTTGCATCAGTTTGCTTGCAAAGGGATAGTATTCAAGATATCTTTCCGATACCGTGCATAGTGTTCGTCAGTTTTCTTCAAAAAGGGGAGTAACGCACCAGCATATACAGCGTGTTCTGAAAGTAGGGACTTTCCTTAAACTTAAAAAAGGAATTGAAGAAAAATACTAACTATTGATTTGTTAAAGAATTTCAAGTACTGCCCTGTCATATATATTTTTTAAATAGTATTTGAAGTTGTCGCTGTTCTCTGTCTAGGTCTCCTACTTCTACTGGGTCCACCCAGACAGTTTGCACGAAGCTTACGCAGCTCTGTTCGAAACATTAAGGACAATGTTGTGAATCCGCTCGCAGAGTATAAACAGGATCTTGAACCCGCTCACAGTAAACTAACATGAAATGTTCTGAATGTGTCAATTTCGGTTTTTCAAATGTGACTTGTTTATAAACTTGCTAACCTAGACACCACGTGGCGCCAGATTTGGATTTACGTAGTACTACAAAACATCAAACCTCTTCACGGAGGAGGGGGAAGAGCAGGAGGGTAGGGAAGCATGGTAGGACTGACTCATTTAGTTTAGAGTTTTAGAAACTCAATATCTCGATTATCTTAACGCTTTGGTATTACACGCTCTATGAAGAAAAGTCCTAACAGCAACATAATGTTGGTAAAGTGCCTTTACTTCCCGTAACAATTGACCACAGGAAGTATGAAGTTTAAAAATAATCAAAATTATCGACTGATTGTCTGGTAGTCCATTGCCCCTCATTAATTCGAAAAGCGCTGCTTAGATTTTTAGTGATATTGACATGAGCTTACTTTTTGGCAAAAGCGGACATGCTTTTTAGGGTAGTCGAGTTTCTGAATATTTTTGAGCGTTATTGGTGTTTGGACGGGTCAAAATTTAGTCGACGTTCTAACCAGTTAATAATCAGTTTAATGGGGGTTCAAAGAATGTGGGAGATAACTGATGACTCTTAGAAATGTCGTATACTAAAATGTTTAAGTCTATTACTAAGTTAGTCTCATCTTTGCACAAGGAAAATAAAAAAAATCGGATTATATACTATACATTTTATACTTTATTGAATTTGGCACAGGAAAGAACAATGAGCCTATTTTCTAACATAACATTTCAGTTTGTCATTTTGTTGGGATATAAGTGATTTAAATAGTAAATTTTACATTGATTTACATACACTCATCACTAGCCGTCTAACGCGTTATGGAATATTTCTATTATTATATTATTATTGTAATATCGACGACGTTTCTACAAAAGCAGCTCGCATCTATCTACATTTCGAATTAAGAATTGGAGCATCGTTCCAAGATTCAAAAAACTAATTAACGCACCTCTCAGAGAGATGGAGCATTAAGTTGGCCATTACAAATTGGATTCTGAGAGCTGATGTTCTAAAATGCTTACATTTCTATGTTGGAAATTATGTTGCTTTTGACTATAACCACACATGAACGTGCCTTAAGTTTGCAAATCTCATGATGTCCGTAAGGCTGCAGCGCAGTGTTTCGTATTTTTGTTTCAATGGATACAATAATTAGTAGATATCTACATTAGATAGCAAACGTTTTTCAATATTGGTGAACGATATATATTTCTGTATAGTAAGGAACTTTTTCATTGGGTGACGGTAATTCTCCTATATATATGGTCTTTAGTTAATGCTTTTGTACAAACATCATGTAGCTCTTAATTGTACTGATAATTAATTTTAATAACAAATATCGTAACAATAGTACAAAATTTTGTTACAGCTATTAACCACCTTTACAAAAACTTCTATATAGGTATGCCACTAATGTGTTAAGTACTTGTTGAGTACGCACAAAACGGTTGGTTACACTTATTTGTCATGGTAATATGAAGACTGTTATTATCTGAACAAAAAAAATAATATATTTGATTCAGACATGATTATTGACGAAACAACAAAAACAAACAATTTTATGAAATCTATTTCATATGCCATAACAAAAATTGTGTTATAAACTGCTTGTTATAATGCAAAACCTTACAGTTTAAGTACGTAGAAGATATCACATTTTCTATTTTGTTTTCTTAGTACGGCTATAGATACATAATACAAACGGAAACAAAAGTGGGTACAGTTATATACAGTGCCTCATAAAAGACGCGTACATGTTCAGTGATGTGGTTGATAAATACTCATAAACACATTATAAATGTTGCATTCAGGAACATTATTTTGTTATTTATACATTGATTCAATTTATTGTTACGTCAGAATCATCATCAATGGTTTGGTGTAGTATATTTTGGCGTTTGAGCAAAACATCGATTATTATAAACCTTTTCAAAATATGTTCATGTAGCGTAAGCCTTCCTTAGTCACTGTAACTGTATTTATTACTGTCAGTAGTGTGTTTTGCGACCGGAAACTGAGATTTATATCATACAAAAGATATGCATCTTTGAATACAAAAGAATGATTTCTGGTTCAAGAGTTATAATAAATAAAGAGGCATTTGCGATATATTTAATACGAGAACCTTTAAAATAATTGATATCTTTAAAACCGATTTCTATAACGTGGTGATGGTCAAATTGAGGAGAAGTAACAATTTTGGGAAAATTTATCAATCGACTCGTGTCTAATATATCTTTCAAGTTTCAAAATGACCCCAGTCTCTCGATTCAAAGAATATAGATACGTTGTAAAGTTTTGTTTTATAATCCCCAATACTTAATCACTACGGCTTGGATAAACAAAAACAAAAAAGACAGAAAATAGGTATTCGAGGGATTACATGTTTTTTATTTCTACGCATGTAATTATACATATCTAACGTTGTACGTTTTTGTAATATTCGAGTATATGGAAAAGTTCTTAGAGAAGTTCCGTCCGGGCTAGTGATGGGAAAGTGCTTATAAAAACCTAAGAACTTCACCTACACCTTTTATATGCCAGATACCAAGCATTTACGAGCTGACTGAAATAATTCTACAGCTCGCCGGATAAAAATGTAGTTTTGATGAGAGAACAGTTCTACGTTAATATTATAACATAACGAAACAACAGAAATGTAAGCTAGTAGATCATAAAATAAATCTAGTATAGATTTTGTTTTCTTCGTCGATTAGGCATAAAGACGAGGAGATGTATAGAATTGATTTTGCAAAATGTATGTATTTTATGAAAAGATATCAAGTGAGAACAGGTCAAATAATAATAATAATAATCCGGATCTTGCCGGGCCGCTTTTTGGTCCATATTTTAATCCCCCCTCCTGAGTAACTACAAAAAGTTTGTTTCGTTCCAACCTTTTTTTTTGATTTCTAGGATCATTCTGAATAAGAAATGTAACTTTACTCTAAACTTAGTCGTTTCCGAGTTACAAGCCTTTTAATGTATGAAAAAGCCTGAAAACGGACTGAAAAAAATGGTCATCTTCATTGACTGAAAACTAGGTCAAAATTAATTTTTTTAGGGTTCCCAAGTATTTAAATTACAGCCAATAACCTTCTCCAAGAGTCCGAAGAATATTTCACGATTAATTGCGGAGTGTTACAAAAACAACATATGAAAAAACGATTTATTTCAAAACTAATAATTTTCTTGAATACTTGTTTGCTAACTACTATTAATAATATCTTAAAAATATGCTATCACAAAAAAATATGTGTGCTTAAGTAATCAAAAACATTCTTTTTTGTACTAGATGGTGTCATTAACTCAATCTCGTTAAATTTGGACTTATGCGGTCTTTGTAAAACAAGCCTCAATTTATCTTACAGCGATTTTCAATCTAGTTTGTTAGGCCAAAATTGGCGAACGTTTGGTGTCCGTAAACTATACATACCACCTTCATTAAATTGAAGCAGAAACCGATATTTTGTTTATAGCAAATTGTATCGGTAGTTAACTGTTTTAAAATATACGGGGCGTTCCAAACGTCATGGATAGTCATTTTCAATCCGAAATGCCATGTATGTCCTTATCCAATTATGCACGGTTTTTCAGTTATCGCTGTTTTGAGTAATTCTGATTAAAACTAACCCCCTAACACCCCCTTTCCATGACTTTTTGGAACGTTATGTATATTTTAAATTTTAACAGCCGATATTTAATTTATCGAACGTGGTCTATATGTACAGTCTGGAAAATCAAAAGTCCGCCAATTTTGGCATAACAAACTAGCTTAAAAAAGATGAGTGTTTTCAGGGTTTTTCAGACATTAAATGGCATATGGTTTAGCTCGAAAACGATTAATATTAGAGAATAGTTAGTTAGTTATTCAGAATGAACCAAGAAATCAGAGAAGCAAAAAAAACTTTTCTTTGTAATTTCTCAAAAGAGAAGGGGATTTAAAAAATGAGCCAAAAAGTAGTCCGATAAGTTCCGGTTTATTGTTCCTAGATCTCTTCTCAGTTGATATCTGTTCATTGAGTGCACACATTTTGCAAACCCAATTCCGGCGCCTGGTCCAACAGTAATTTTTGCTTTTTAAGAAAACATTATCGTAGTTAGGTAGGGAAAGATAAATTTGTCTGTTATCTTTTGTAACTTGATTACTTGAACAAATTATTATTTTCAGGTTCCATAAAACTTGTGTCGCCTACTTCTGTATAATGTGACAATAACACGAGCTTAACTTTGATACGGGTCCGTCTTTTTTTATATTTCTTCGACATTCTGTAAATATTTATATGTAGAAAAATTCCAAACAAAACTATGGTCTCGTAGTATCTACATTACCTGGTATCTGGTTTGTTCTACGTACAGATGCAAACTCTTCGAGATTGTACCGAAATAAATAATATTACTTAAAGTACTGGCTCTTATATTAAAATATAGAAACTTTAACAGCATGGAAACAAAAAAGTCACATTGCACTTTTATAAACGAAATTTTGACCGTTCCTCCGATCTAGCTGCCATTAAAGCATACTTTGTACCATAACGAGGTTTTAAATTGAGTTAAAAGTATCACGTTACACAATACAGAGAAACAAGTAAACTTGCAACATAAACATATTTATCGAATTTGAGTCTCATGCGAAATAAAATCAAAATCAGACGCTTATTCTCCATAGTGGATGGAAAATTATGGGTGGATCAATGAAAGTCAGATGATATAGGACGTTAATTTGGGCGGTGTGGGATTGTAGTTTTATTTTTTAACTTCAGTATGTTTATACGCCTCCAACCTCTGTAGTTCTACGCATCTATTAGGAATATTTAACACATCATAGATTTCCTCGTACATTTACCCTGACGTGTTGTGCTGTATCGCAGGAAAGCGTCGTTGCCAGTTGGATTACCGGTAGCGCAGTAAAAAAATGTCTAAGGACTAATTGTGTGGATCTGTTTGACTTGATACGTTTAATTTCTAAGTAAATTTTCTCTCAGAGGGTGAACACAATCCTTTATGAAATGATAACGGAGTTGCGTGGGAAGTGCAGAGTCAACCTACTTGACACCATTTTATTTCTTGGCGGCCCGTGAAAGTTGGGAAACTAACAGAACTATGCAGTAAAAGTTGAAGCAACAGTTTTTAGTCATAGTTTATAAAGTTTGGATAGATAAGGAACACAGTATAGATAAGATACTCAGTGTTGCAGCACTTCCAGAACCAGCCGTAGACCTGATAGTTTGACTTATAAAGTTAAGCTAAAAATCGTTTTTTTTTCTAAGATTTCCGGAACTACTGAATTTCGGATAAAACAGACGCAGGCTAATCCAATAGGTATTGAGATCCTCTGTCATCTGGCTTTTGTTCTTGTCCACAACTTCACCTTTACACCCTGTATACATCAGAATAATGTTTTAGTTTCAATAGATATTATGTACACAACG